AGTAAATGATGTAGGAAAGAGACTACTTGACGAGTGTTCTCCTCACGTTCAAATCCAATCAAATCTCAAACTTCTAATTAACAAGACATATAGAAAAAGGACGACTCGATGGAGCCATCATATAATAAAATATTGAGAAGCATTCTACATCCCAATACTTTTACTGGAAGAAATCTTAAGAAAATACTCGAATTTAAGCTTATCAACATATCGAATTAGATCAGTAAAAACTCAAAAATAAAAGTCATTAAATTGTGGGACGACTAAGTATTATCAATTGCTTCTTTTTCTCTATACATTTAAGGGGGACTTCTTTCAAACGATTCCTATGTGCATTTATTGCTCCCTCCTCGCATATGAGTCTCCACCCCATCGGTTTAGCTCCTCCTCAATCCAAGTCCAATATTCGTTTAAATAAACAAAACTAAATCTAAATCTTCACTCATTACTAATCGATTCAATCACGTCTTCCACCGCCTGTCTCCTCTTGGACGAAACTGTAAAGACAAACAACAATTGACATCCGTGAAGACTCATGAGATTCATTGTTGAGGGGATAAGTACAGCGCAAGTGCCATAACTTTTTTTTGGCTCACTTGAGTGCTATAACTTTCAAAAAAAATGATCACTTAAGTTCCACTTACGAGCTGGTCGTGAGGGCCCAAAATCGCGGCTTTTTCGGCCGAACAATGACCTTCCCGGTGAGGCGAGCACTACTAGCTTGAAGAGGGGGTGTCGGTGAATCATTCCATGGCCTCCGTTCATCTCGAAATTTCTGTTTTAGCCTCCGTTGACGAAGGTAAAAATGCTTCGTAGTCACACAATTTATCGAACCGATTTGTGTGACTTCGAAGCATTTTTACCTTCGTCAACGGAGGCTAAAACGGAAATTTCGAGACGAACGGAGGCCATGGAATGATTCACCGACACCCCCTCTTCAAGCTGGTGGTGCTCGCCTCACCGGGAAGGTCACCGTTCGACCTTAAAAGCTGCGGTTTTGGGCCCTCACGACCAGCTTGTCAGAGGGGTTGGTCGTGAGGGCCCGAAACCGCGGCTTTTCCGGTCGAACGGTGACCTTCCCGGTGAGGCGAGCACCACCAGCTTGAAGAGGGGGTGTCGGTGAATCATTCCATGGCCTCCGTTCGTCTCGAAATTTTCGTTTTAGCCTCCGTTGACGAAGGTAAAAATGCTTCGTAGTCACACAAATCGGCTCGATAAATGTGACTACGAAGCATTTTTACCTTCGTCAACGGAGGCTAAAACGGAAATTTTGAGACGAACGGAGGCCATGGAATGATTCACCGATACCCCCTCTTCAAGCTGGTGGTGCTCGCCTCACCGGGAAGGTCATGGTTCGGCCGGAAAAGCCGCGTTTCGGGCCCTCACGATCAGCTCGTAAGTGGCACTTAAGTGATCATTTTTTTTAAAGTTATGGCACTCAAGTGAGCCAAAAAAAAGTTATGGCACTTAAGTGTCCTCCGTACAAAAGTTATGGCACTTGCGCTGTACTTATCCCCATTGTTGAGTTCAAGATAGCAATACAAGTTGGGGGCCACATATCAACCGTCGATTCTAGCACCTCTGTTGGGAGAAGCTCTACAAGATAGTAATACAGTCATAATGAGGAGATCCAAGAGGGAGCCCATAACTTAAGCTCATCACCCACATTCCCATAAAAGTTAATTCATTGAGAAACGGAGTGTAATTAGGCATTAGAAATAGTTCTATTCACATGAAATCTTAGATGTGAGAATTTATTATCACCCCTCAAACATTCACTTCATCAATTCTCCCCTATCATGTGAGGCTTCGGTGCTCTCCCCTTAAATCTAAATATCCTTTCGTATCAACATTTATCTCAACTTGAATCTCTATCTTGTGTTACAGATACTCCATAACCACAATACCCACTTTCACCCCTGGTCTTTTTTGCTAGAACGAAACATGAAGACCGCCCTTGGGACCGCATAGCTAGACCACAATATCCACATATCAGGACTTCGCATTGATCATGAGATTCCTCCCTTAAAATATTAACTAAATGTTGATACATATTGGGAGGGGCCCTCCAATCAAATAACAACTCAATTACCACTTATTGGGACAAGCATACCTTAACCTATGAAGATTACCAAAAGAGAGTCCTAATCTAAGTCCATCAATATATCCAGTCGAACTTATCTTCATTTAGAAGATTAATCACTGAATTATGGGTCAAATAGCAATTATCAATTGCTTCTTTCGATTCTACACATCTAATGTAAACACCATTCATATGTACATCCAACCTTGAAGATGGAATACATAGATGCATTAAGGTTTCACAAGGGAGAACAAATGGGAGGAGTATCGATTATACTCTTGTCTAAAGGAAAAAAGAAAGAAAAGCAAAAGAGAGGAACACAAAAAGTATGCGTATAAGGAATACATATTTTAAGGTGATGGATTTGCCATTCGACCATGTTTTTAACTTTTAAGATAAGTTGTCAACATTATTTTTATCCTTCACAGAATTACGTTTTGTCCACCTTGAACCGGCACAATGAAAATAGTTAGACGTGCAATAATTTTAACCAAAATTTTCTCGGATCAAAAACTCGTTTGCACAATAAAATTAGGAAAAATCCGCAAAGGAACAAAAACTAAAGATAACTTTTTGTGTTTCTGTTTTTCTTTGTCCAATTTTTTTTTTATTTGGTTAAGCGGTCAGCTAATGTTCGAGACAGCCTTCATGCGTTTTGATTAGTCTACGTCCGCAAGCGATTTGTACAACCATTAATCACAATATTTGCATAATCGCATCATTTAAAAATTTGCTAGTCTAAGTTATAATTATGGATCACTCCTTATTTTTGAAAATATAGGTTGGAGTTAGGGGTGATCGATTTCAGGATGGATAGATTTCCACCCTAAAATCGGGAACCAAACTGGATAGGTTGGTTTTAGTATGTGGAACCAGGAACAACCCTGGCCACCCCGCTAACTAGACCGGACCGGCCGGTCCCAAAAACGATTCCTAGGCTATATCGGGAACTGGTAGTGTTATTTCTTTTTTTTTTCCTCAAAAGTTCCTAAATATATTGAAAGCTATTTTAATGTAGAGTGAAATTAATAATTACAAGGAAATTATGAGTAAAAGAAAATATCTCCCCACAAATAATTTGTACTTTTTTCCCTTGCTTAATAAAAAATAAATATAATAATATGCTTTGGGCTAGTTCTGCCAGTTTGTTCTAATTAGGGATGAGCGGTTCCCGGTCCGGTCCGGTCCAATTCAAGAACCGGGAACCGAACCGGGGACCGGACTAGACCATCGGTCCAGTCAGGTTCCAATGGGATCAATCACTTATTGGTAAAGGCAAGAGGGAATTAGGGAAATTAGATTAGGCTTTCTATTTTTTTCAAAAATCTTAAAAAGTAAATAAATATATATAAAAATTAGAAAAAATATATATATTTATCGGTCCGATCCGGTCCAGTTCCCACCCTAGAACCGGGAACCGGACCGCCCGGAAACCGATTCCACTTTTTGGAACCGGGAACCGAACCGATATTCCCGAGAACTTGACCAAACCGGTTGGTCCGGTCCTTGTTGGGCAGTTCATCTTGCTCACCCCTAGTTCTAATCGATCTAGTTGATCCAGTTCCTCCCCAGGAATCGAAAACTTGATCTATTATTCCTAGTTCTAAAAATCTGGAACCAGAAATTGGACTGATTCTTGTGGGAACCACCTAAAATCGACCAGTTCGGTCCAATTCTTGAATTGGACCGAGACCGATGCACACCCCTAATTAGAGTGATGTAAGTTTTGAGATTGACTTAGATAGATTGGACTAGAAGCATTATGAGTTTTGCTTAAATGATGGATTTTATTGTTTTTGCTCATCCATTTCTATTTACTCCCCCCTTTCGAATTAGTGATAGGGTGCGTTTGTTCGGAGGAAAATTTTACGACAAAAGAAAATATTTTGTGGGAAATTATTTTTTAAGAAAATGGTTACTTTTCCTTTATTTGTTAATATGTGACTGAAAATGTTTTCTAGTATTTGGATCTTATTTGAAAAATGATTTCAATTTATCTTAGGCAAAAATAAAATTGATTTTTTAAATTTTTTTATTTTTTATTTTCTTTTCCTTCTTTTTCCTCCACCAATCACCAAGCTTGACGGCCGCTACAAGCCACTGGCGAGGGCCAACTTGACCGGTCTCGAGGGAGGCTCAAGGTCGACCTTGCCGTAGTGAAGTCGAGCTCGATTGAGGTCGACTAGCTCGAGCCTTGCTTGAGGCCGGTGACCAACGGAGGAGGAAAAAGGAAAAGAATAAAAAAAGAATAGAAATATAAAAAAAATTCAAGAGCTGCAATTCTGGAAACTGTTTATATTCCTTGACCGGAAAATATTTTCAGTTAAATAATCATTTTCAAAGAACCAAACGAGTGAAAATTTAGAAAACTAATTCTGGGAAAACACTTTCCTTCAAACAGACGCACCCATGTAAGATGGGCATACAATATGTTTCTAATTTCATGTCGCCCGTGTTTGGACCATTATGTTGGGAGGTAAACTTTGTGCAACCTCAAATGTAGCACGACACAATTTAAAGCCGTGCGGGGGGCATGGACGAGCCACGGACCTTATCGTGCCATCAAATGAGGGCCGCCTACGTACGGTGGCGTTGGAGCGGAGTTGGTGAATGTTAGGCACGGAACGCGTCTCTAGTCCTCTAGGCTCACTTGGATTATGGGGGTCGATAGTCGAGTCTCGCGCAACCTCAAATTGGCACGAGAGCGGATAATACCGTGCTCTACCTTTTTTTTTTGGCACTTGCCACATAGGGCAAGCAAATCGAGCCATGATATTGAATTGGAAAATCGCCATAAATCCATGGAAAAAGAAAAAAAAAAAAACAGGGGGCAAGGAAAAATTGAAGAAAACCGCTTATATATATAGCGACTGTGCAGCCTCAATCCACCATCCTCCTCCACGTTCCCAATCACCATTCCTCGAATCCCCAAGGTCGGATCCACCACCAGCAGCAGCAGCAGCAGCAGCACTGAAACACCAAGAGAATCGTCCTCGGAAACAGCGAAAGGAAGGAAGAAAGGGAAGACAACCCCATCTTCTGTTCTTGTCCCATCGAACGTTCGAACCATCAAGGGAAACCCCCGAAGCCATGCGTTCTTGCTACGGCATAGCCTTGCCCGGCAGCGACCCATCTCGCCTCTGCCTCCCGCCGCCGCCGCCGCCTCCGTCGACCCGCGCCCCCCTCCGGGCCTTCTGCCCGACCCGGGTCCGCTTCGGACCCGTCCGGTGCGCGGCCGGCCGGATCGACGACGGGGTCTTGGCGGGCGCCGCCCTGTCGTCGGCGGAGGCGAGCTTCTACGACCTCCTGGGAATACCCGAGTCGGGGAGCTTGCCCGAGATCAAGCAGGCGTACAAGCAGCTCGCCCGCAAGTACCACCCGGACGTCTCCCCGCCCGGCCGCGTCGAGGAGTACACCCAGCGGTTCATCCGGGTGCAGGAGGCCTACGAGACGCTCTCGGACCCGCGCAGGAGGGCCGTGTACGACAGGGACTTGGCCAGGGGGATTCACTTGGCTTTCTCTGCTCGCAGGCCCTTCGGGGGTGATGAGGTAATGTGCAAATTGGATGCGATGATTTGGTTTTGGTTCGTGTTTCTTGGTTTTAGTGGTTTGGCATGTTGATGGGGGGTGGATTGGTGTCCTTTTGATTCGGTTTGGTGAATTGGGTGTTGGTGATTTTGCTTGATGCGGTTTTGGGGTTCGATTTTGTTCATGCAATTGATTCTTTTCACTGATATGAAGTTTGATGATTCTTGATTTCACCTGGGGAACTGTTCTTGGTACTGCAGAGAATTTTTTCCTTGTCTCTCTTCTTGGTTGAATTCGTTGGCTCTTTCGTAGATATTATTTGTTCAGTGTTACTTGCTTGTTGCATTATTAACGCCTGAAACTTTTGAATGGATCCGTGGATTGTTAGGACTTGCGATTAGAGAGCAGTTCTTGCGATCACTGATAATGGGAATTAGAAAGATTTGCTGATAAAGTCGATGTGATCTCAGTTCCTGTATCACTTAGGGTCCTGTCATCCTGTAGAACAATTTGTTTCTCTTTGACCGAGTGTCTTTTTTTGTCTTTAGATAGAAAACACAATCATCAATGTACATAATTTGTTCTCTAAAACTTTGATAGAATACATCTGCTCTGATGTTCAATGATTTTACTGCTCGAATATATGGATACGGCTGATTTCTCTGTTTAACTTGGATTTCAAAATGAACTGCTGATTCTTCAATAATTCAACCAAAAAGTTGAAATGATGATTCTCCTTGGTGCAAGATTTTCATCACACGCATTCTCAGTACACCACTATCGTGTTCTTTGTGCTCTCTTGGCTTTGATTTAAAAATCTAGGAATTAGAGTTGAGATTGAAATGGAAGAGCCCTTGGCAGGAGTTGACGGATTGTTGTTTCTTCTTTTGTTAGATTTAGACCTCTGATAGAACACATCTGCTCCGATACCATAGGGTTTTAGTGCTTGGTTCAGGTGGAGTTGACCGATGTCGTCCAACTAAAAAAGTTGCTCTCTTTTATATTCGGATTTCAGAATGAAATGATTTTTCTTCTTGAATTCACTAGAAAATTTAAGATAGTTGTTGGCATTGGTGCAAATTACATGACTTTTCTGGTTTTCTTTCTTGCCCAAGTACATCCTGTGTGTTGATTGCGCTCTCTTGGGTTTGATCTGAATTAGGATTTAGAGGATAAAAGCGAATGGAAGAGCCGTTGGCAGGTTCAGCTATCGGGGTTGAAGAGGAGAAGCAATCACAAAGATTCCAGAGGAAACATGTCTTGGGGTGCACGGATGCGCAGACAAATGGAGGAACCATCAGACGACTCGTAAGTCGGTTCGTGTTTAGTCATGTACATATGTAGCCGCTGGTTTGGTAGAGGATATCTAAGCCACTGCTCGATGAGCATATGCTCTTTATGGAACGAAAGAATATAGTAGAGTGAGATGCTTATCAAGCAGTTACTTAAAGGCGAGATATGTATGGTTTATGGCTGATTGTTCACAATAAATCTATAGGCGAAATGGGTTTCATAAAGTTTGTTGAGATCGACTTCTCTCTTTTCTGAGTACCTTTTCCTTCGGTCCATTTGGGTGTGATTTTCAACTGTCGAGTGATGCTGCTGCCTTCTTTTTTCCTCGTCGGTTCGTTCGGGAAGAAACTTAGGAGCTCTTAGAATGTTAATCTGTCTCATGTTGAATATGATGAATTCAAGACGAGTCCGGAGATGTATTATTCGGAAGATCAAGTTATTTAAAGCAAGTTACTTCCAGTTTTCAGTGGTGGACATGGTACATTCTTGACCCAGAAAGAGGGGTTAGTCTTGTTCAACAACGATGTCTCTGACTCCACGGAACCTTGAATGCTGGTGTAACGTTGAGTTTGAAGAAGTAAAACTTCAGATTTGTCGTCATTCGACCTTTACATTATGTTCGGTTATGCGGAGGACATGAATCTAGACATGAGTCTGAATTAAAATTGATCCGGTCCACAATTGTCTGCTCTGTTGCATAGACGAAAGAAGGCATAAGGACATTAGAAGTGTTAAAAGTTATTGCGGTGCTCACTTTAGTGCCAAATTGGAGAAAAGTGCCTCTATCAAGAAATTTCGGCAAAAAAAATTACTTGAATTTTATAATTAAAAGTTTTATCCGATGTGGCACTTTTTAAAAAAAATCCAATCCACTTGGATAGATAAAATGATATTGCACAATCCAACGTGTTTGTTGTGTAAAATGACGTCGTTCGCTCTGAAGTTTTTTTGTCATTTTCTTAAGTCGTTTGCTCAAGTCGTTCGCTCAATTCGTACGTCGACTCCCTCTCATTGCCGTCGCTCACTCGCGGTCGTCGTCGCTCGCTCACTTGCCATCTTTGTCACTTTCATTCAGTAAGGTTTGTCATTCTCTCTCACTTGATCAATTGGCTGAAAAAAGTGGGGCTCGGGCTCAGAGGGAAATATTCAGCTTCTCCTTCGCTTTGTTGAAATGAATTTAAGCCTCTCGTCATGCTCCTACTCTCCATTTGCAAGATTGAGCTGTTAATTTGTTATGTGATGTAGAATGAAGCTTAGAAACCAGAACATAAGGCACGATTTGTAGATGAAGGTAATCAAACGATGCAGAAGGTATGGGATAAGACAACAAAAGAACTTCAGAGTTGGAAATTTGCATTGATCCATCGAGTTGTCCATATGCATTGTAGGGGTAGTACCATGTCCAACACTGAGGACCGGTTCTCAATTTTTAGGAACCGTGGATTGGACCAGTTGGTTCGGTCTGGTCCAGTCCGATGAAATCGGTGACTACAAGGTTTTCATTCCATATAGAGTGAATTTTCTCCTTGTGCAATGTCTACAAGTCCCAATGATTTGCTCCGAGGGTGCAGAACACCAAGGCATCAGCCAAATACAATGACTTTTCATACATAGTGGCGTGTCGCCAACAACTTGGTATATGTTATAATGTTAAACATGTGCAATGTGTACAATGTCACATTATGCATGAGAGTGGAGGAAGCTTTCGTTGTCGGCCAAACCAGGAAAAAGAATTCATTCCTAGGCGCTGCAGTGAAGTGAAGCTCACTCTCATATAGATACGTACATAATTACATATATGTGGAAGACAAGGAGAAAATTAAAAAAAAATTATTGGAAGGAGATAGCATACTAGCAATGTGTACACATTGTTCTTGTCTTGAGATAGCATACAAGCTAGATAGACTTGTGCAATGTGTACGCAAGTCTTGTATACACGCAAATCTATCTAGCTTGTATGTTATCATGTCGTCTATGTTGTATACACGTACATAATTTTTTTTTAAAAATGTAATCGGTCCAGTCTGGTCCGTCGGTCCGGTTCCCACCCTAAAATCAGGAATCGGATTGGTGGCCTCTGGAATAGCCCAGAACAGGCTAGTCCGGTCCAGTCCGGGCGGTTCCCATTGCACACCCCTACTGCATTCCGGTATTCGTTTCACGGAAAATAACTTCCCATGGAAAATATTTTCCTTCATATGGACAAAACTCCTTCACTTTTGAGGAAAATGACTTCCTCTTTCTCAAAAGAGGAAAACACTTTCTCGAAAGCCTTCTTTCACCATTTATTTTCACTATTTTCTTTTTCTTTTTTTTTTCTTCTTCTTCTTCTTCCTTAGCCAGTTGCCGGCCACGGCGGCGACTAGCGACCGTCCACAGGCGAGCTTGAGCCTCACCAACTTGTGGCAAGGCTTGAGCTGGCCGGTCGCTGGCCGCTGTCGTGGCCGGCAACCTACCGGAGAAGAAGAAGAAGGAAAAAGAAGAAAAAGAAAAAAAAAGAAAATTAAAAATACTTTTAATAAATAAAAATTATTAAAAGTATTGCAAGGAGGAAAATCGTTTTCATACCGAACAACGAAAAATATTTTCCGGGACTTTTTCATATTTTAGACGAACACCGGAAAATTGTGTCATTTTCCAGGAAAATGACTTCCGGGAAAACATTTTCCAGAAACGTAACATTTTCCGCGAAACGAACGGAGCCTAAAGTGAGTGTCTTGCGAAACTTTCAACACTTCTAGTATCCTTATCTCGACGAAAGCGGGTAGAGGTCATGACGAGAGGAAGTCTAAACCGAGACGACACGCCTCGGCTCGAAATGGATGCTCTCCCCCAAGTCGAAACACTTCCTCTATGACACGAAATTGCTACCTTCAGCTGCACCACATCCACAACCACAAGCAAAGAGCTGGCCATGTTAAAAATGCCGTTTCTGGAGCAACGCGACGATGGGAAGAGCGAGAAACCCATCTTCGGATTACGAGAATTGGGAAATCCGTCCAGTGATTACGATGGGTCGATGTAATCTTGGCATGTTGTTACTTGGGCCCGACGGTGGTCCTCTTTTAGAGTGGGATTATCGTGGATGACAAGGCGCAACGGGCTACTGTCTATCCACAGCAAGTTGTGGCTGAATTGCACTACAATCTACAGGCTGAAGTTTCCAGGCTGTTGCCGCAAAGATCACGACAATGGAGTTCATATGCATCGGGTACACGTCGTTCTCTTCGTTCCTTCCTGCTAAACATGACAGAAAATGTAAAAGGAAGAGATTGGAGAATTTTGTATATGTTGTAATAATCATCTGTACATGTACATGCCACTATTTATAGTGCAAAAGGAAATCAAAGAAAGAATAAAATATAATACATTCTGATACATTTTCCTATTTTATCTTAATTGACAGAATCAATCATTTCTCAATTCCGTGATTAGAATCGTAATCACAGACCGCATCATATCTTTCTCCAACACTCCCCCTCAAGCTGGTGGCTTATATATGTCAAAGACACCTAGCTTGCTCAGTAGATATGCATGCTGTCTCTTACACAAGGGCTTGGTGAAAATGTCTGCAGGCTGCTCCACAGTTTTGATTCCTCGAGTTGTGACCATCCCTTCTTGAATTTTTTCTCGAGTAAAATGACAATCAACTTCTATATGTTTTGTCCTTTCATGAAAAATTGGGTTTGCTGCTAATTTTAATGCTGCATCATTATCACAAAACAGTTCACTTGCTCCATTAATTTGTACTCCGAGATCCGATAATAAACCTCGTATCCAAACTATCTCGCAAATGGTTTTAGCCATAGCTCGATATTCCGATTCAGCTGATGATAGAGAGACAGTCGATTGTTTCTTTGTCTTCCATGAGATCAAAGAATTTCCCAATTTAATGCAAAAGCCAGTGATAGATCTTCTGGTCATGGGACAAGTCGCATAATCTGTATCACAATAAGCCATCATTTTCATATCGCAATCACGAGACAATAGGATTCCAAGTCCTGGACACCCTTTCAAATATCTCACGACTTTTAGCGCTGCATCCATATGAGACTGCTTCGGATTATGCATAAATTGACTGAGTATCTGCACTGCATAACATATATCGGGCCTGGTCATGGTGAGATAAATCAACTTTCCAACGAGTCGCTGATATCTTGATGGATCTTTAAGTAATGGGTCTTCATCCGATGACGATAAGCTCTTATCATATTCAAGCGTTGTGAGCTTGACATTCTGTTCAATAGGAATAATGGCTGGTTTACACCCCGATAATCCTGCTTCTGATATGATCTCCAAAACAAATTTCCGCTGGCTTAGACATATTCCTTTGTCTGACCTGGCTATTTACCAAGAAAATATTTAGGAGGTCCCAAATCTTTGATATGGAAAGTAGATCGCAAATAATCCTTGAATTCTCTGACAGCAGAATCATCATTTCCCATAACAAGTATATCATCAACGTATATTAACAAATAAATTGATGAAGTACCTTTGGTCCATGTGAATAGAGCATAATCATGCCTAGAATGCTTAAAACCTGCATTTGTAAGTGCAGTGGTGAACTTGGCATACCATTGTCGAGAAGCCTGTTTGAGTCCATACAGGGATTTACGGAGACGACATGCCCAAGACTCCCCCTGTCTGCGTAAACCCTGTGGGAGGTCCATGTATATTTCTTCGTCCAGATCACCGTGAAGAAAAGCATTATGGACATCCATCTGATGTAATTTCCAATTACGGAAAGCAGTGACTGATAAAAAAGATCGTACAGTAACCTCTTTAGCAACTGGAGAAAAAGTTTCGTGATAATCAAAACCTTCTCGTTGCGTGAATCCTTTAGCAACTAGCCGAGCTTTGTAACGTTCAATGGAACCATCTGCCTTGTATTTAATTTTATATACCCATTTGCAGCCAATAGGTTTCCTGTGCGGAGGCAGCGGAACTATGTCCCAAGTATGATTATCCATGAGAGCACCTAACTCGGCTTCCATGGCCTGTCTCCATCGTGGGTCACATACTGCTTCTTCATAAGATGAAGGTTCCTGTTCCTCAGATATGCGACTAATACAACACATGTGTTCTGCTGACAATCGATTAAAGGACACATAGGAAGATACAGGATATTGTGTACCTGGAGAATCCAACGTGGAGCATATGTAGTCCTTTGTCCATGTAGGTGGACGAACATGACGTCTAGAACGCCGTGGTGGCTCTTCTATTG